AAACGAATTTTCTAATTTTGGGGAAGGAGCTATGGACTATTTTGGATTATATAAACTAAAAATCTTCTGCATGATATACTATAGTCTTAGAATAATTTTATTTTGACTAGATATATGTACAGAGGACTATGGATCTTTTTAGTCTTAACTATTGGTTTGCTTTATGTACTATTGGCCTCTGTATGTGTTTTTAGTATAGGAATAATTTGCAAGAGCTAGGGTATAGGTCAGTGGTAGAGTGCTTGCTACCTAGCATATGGTCCTAATTTGGTCCTCAGCATCTCTCTCTCTCTCTCTCTCTCTCTCTCTCTCTCTCTCTCTCTATCTCTCTCTCTCTCTCTCCCAGCAAGAAACAAGCAAACATGATGGCTCATGCCTGTAATTCCCTTATTCAAGAGGTAGGAGGATGTTTACTTTAAGGCTAGTCTGAACTATACAGTGTGTTTGTGGCCATATTGGGCTACATAGACAGACCATGTCTTAAAACAAACCCAAGAAACAATAGAAAACTGTGGAGTGATTTCAAAGGGTAAGTGGCATGTCAGTTGAGACTATAGCTATACACTTAAGGCCCTGATCAATTGGTTTCTCCTAATATGTTGCCATATTTAATTCTAGTTCTGGAACTTTTATTAAAAAGTTAATATTTGAATGTAAGAATGGATTTTTTAATTTTTAAACTTATTTTTATGTATATGAGTCTTTTTCATGCATGTATGGAAATGCACCACTTGTGTGCAATGCCAGTGGTTGTCAGTAGAAGGTGTAAGGTCCCCTGGAACTGGAGTTGTGGTCAGGGGTTAGCTGCCTTGTGGGTGTTGGGAACCAAACCTAGGTCCTCCGGAAGAGCAGCCAATGCTCTTAACTGTTGAGCCATTTCTCTGGCCCTAAAAATGAATATTTTTAAAAAGAAATTTTAGAAAAGAAACATGATATTTAGAGGAGAAAATTTTCAGTTTGTTATTCTTTGGCCTTTTCTTAAACTACACTTACACCCCTTCTAAAAGATGTAAAATAAACCATCAGTCATAAGTTCATATAATGACATTTTTATTGAATAGGGGTCTTTGTGTGTAATGTCACTAAACTGAAAAACATAAAATTTCCCTGTGTGATTGCCGCAATGACTGCACTCAGACATTCCAACACATGACAGTCTAACTTGATTTGAATACTTACTTTTCTTTAAACTTCCTCTTTCTTTGTAATAACCACATCTGCTTTAGCAATTCTGTGATTTTTAAACTTCCTTCTGCAAAAAAGTTTTAAATATTTTTGTTTCTTGTACAGTATTAACATATTTTTGAAACTTGAAAAATATAGAAGGGGGAAGAAATGGCATTATAAATAATCTTAAGAGGACTTTCTTTCTCCCTTCCTTCCTTCCTTCCCTTCCTTCCTTCCTTCCTTCCTTCCTTCCTTCCTTCCTTCCTTCCTTCCTTCCTCCCTCTCTCCCTCCTTCCCTCCTTTCCTCCCTCCCTCCCTTCCCCCCTCCCTTCCTTTCCCTCCCTCCCTTCCTTCCTTTCTCTTCTTTTTAGACAGGAGCTCAGATATCCCAGGTTGGCATCAAGCTTACTAAGTAGTGGGATTGTGTGAAAGCACTTTATCAACTGAGCTACATCCCAGTCCCACTTAAAAGATCTTATTTCAAGCATATTTTCCTCATGGGTTTGGACTCAAGGTATTAATATAGTTACTGTTAGAAGAAAAAAAATACAAAAACATTTCTAGCTGAATCATCAGTGAATGTTTAACGGATTAGTTAAGAAATAGTAGCTCAGGAAATAGAAATTCTAATTTTGGCTCCTTCTGACGTAATTTGATGATGTCAAACCTTTCATTTTACTCTAGGCTATTTTGATTTCATACCTTATACATACAGGAAAACTATTAATAAATAGTCACTTTGCAGTGGTGGGAAGAATAAAAGAGGCTTTATGGTAGGGAAAGAAAAGCAGGTTAAGAGATAAGCTTCCTAAGCACAGCCTTGTCTGTAAAGTAGCCTTGCCAGTTTAGACAAGCAACTTCATTTTGCTATCATTCTGCTTTGTCTGTCAAGTAAGGGTGAAAGATACATCTTCTTTACCTTGCAAGGCTCCAGGGAAGAACACAATGCAATGATGGTGGTAAAGGATTTTATAAATTGCAATGTGCTCTCTAAATATGCTATAATTTCAGAAATGACAGCAGGTCTCTGATACAGCACCATCTGCTACAACATGAAACTCACCATAGTGCTGTTCAGTGTCAGACTGTTGAAAGGCTGTGTCAGTGGCAAGGCTACATCATGTTCATCTTTGTGAAAATTTCTAGGTTGGCATTATCATGAAATTCAAAGCCTACTTATTTTAGAAGTCTGATTCTACTTCTGTTATATCTCTTATATGCTATTTCAATGATTTGCATTTGAGAATCATCAAACCTTTCCCTCATTCATTCCCCATTCTTTCACTGCTGATGCTCACCTTCCTGAAAATAAAAACAGATGTTTACAGATTAACCAGCAGCCATCGCTGTGATCCAAATTCCTTGGAACGCTACAGTACAGTCAAAGGAATCTGGAAAATCTCTCGGGCACTGTTTTACCCATCATAAAAGCTACATATGAAACAGCAATGACCCTGCTGATCCTTCTGAAATCATTCATACACTAGTTTTGGGGGGAGGGATATGCTTGAACTCTTAAAACTTTTTCCCTTTATTTCCCGACAGTTTTACACATATATACAATGTATTGTGATGATAGTCACCCCATCTCCCTTCCTTTGCCTCTGAATGCCTTCTTCCCAATAAGCCCCTAGTGGCTACACCATTAAAGAAAATAATGACTCCTCCTCCAGCTACCATTAACAATCACAGCTCAGGAAGGATGGGGCCTCATGGATGCCTCCTCTATCCCTGATGGAAAGTTGAAAGGCCCAGTCTTGTACAGGTGTCCATAGCTGTTGTGCTCACAATTGCAAGGACCATGTCATATCTGATGGCAGTGCTTCATAGCACTCCTCCCCATCCTTCTGCTCTTAAATGCCTTCCATCCCTCCTCTGCAATATTCCCTAGGTCTTGGAAAGGGAGGATGACATACATATCATGCTTAGGAGAACACCTAAAAGGATGTTTACTAATATCAGCATCAATTTCAAGTATGGTCTTTCCCTAATATTCCACGCTTTTGTGTTCAATGACAGATTTGATATCTCCACTATTTCAAAATGGATACTTTTCTCCCTTCCCTCACATTTTCCCTCCCTCCCTGTCTCCCCTCTTCCCTCTCCCTCCTCCCCTCAGCCCTCCCCTCCTCTGTCCTTCTCTCCCTCCATTCCTTCCTTTTTCCTTTCAGAGGCTTTCTGTGAGCTCAAGTTTTGTCCTTTATCCTCCTGTCTCAGCTTGCTAAATGCTGGATTACAGGTGTGTGACACCATACCTGGCTCAAAAACATGCTTTAAACAATATGGACAAAACAGAATTCTTGATTATTAGTTTTTTTTCCATCTTAACCTATTATCAGGTCTTTATTGCAACTGACCACATCACTCAGTTACTCCAGGGGAAAAAACTTAACAAAACAAAAAACTTTCTCCTTTAGTCTATATACTTGAACCATGAGCCAGTCTTTTAACTTCCTGTGTAAAGCACATCTTGAATCTGCACTTTTCAGTTCTCCATTACCACCTTATTATAAGATATTACTGTTGTTTTCTTCTTTCTTTCCTTTCCCCTTCTTCCCTTTCCTCCCCTCCCCTCCCCTCTCCTTTCCTTTCTGTGTATTCATATACATATAATCTGGTCCTCACCCCACATTTAAAAAATTCATGCAATAGTAAGTTCCAGACATGATACTTTATTACTTAAGTGTTTAGTCCTAGAATACAAGCAAGTTTGTTAACAGAAACACCATTTTTCAGGGAAGTTCTTTAAGACTCAGAATGTTCTAAAGGGAAGTCAAACATTCAATCCTGTAGGGAAGCTGATTAAGCTCACAAGCATATAGAAGCCACGTGGACTGGTGAGAGATACTCTCAGATTAGACAGGCTGCCTGGAAAAGGCACTCTCCCACTGAGCTGCCTGGGTGTACTCCATGTTTCCAGCTTTCATGAGCTGTCATCCATGCTGCAGTGGGCTTTTAGTGATGCAGCTGTCTTTCAGGCGTTTGTTTCTGTTACTCCTCACCCATATTCCTGTAATGCCAATAAAATTCATTGGTCCACCACGTTTTACTTACTTTGGTCTGTTGTCAGTTCTATATCTGGGATGAGTTGATGTTTGTTTGTATCTCCCGAGGAATAGTGTCATACAGCTAACCATATATAAAAGCAAGAAATTAACACTGACATAGTACCATTACCTAATCTACAAATCTCATTCATGCTTTTTCAATTGTCTAAATAAGACACTTTAATTTCTCTAAGCTTGCATCATAAATGCTGATTATACTTGTTCCACAGAGCATGACTAATCTTACACTTAATCAATCAATCAATCAATTAATTAATTAATTAATTTTATTTTTGAAGCAAGGTCTCACTGTAGCCCAGCCTGGCCTTGAACTTGTGGCATGCTTCTGGCCTTAGCTGGTCCTGAAGATGTGAACTATCTCTTAATTATATACCCTTGTGGAGATACAGGAAATAGGGGAGGCAATTCCAACTTCACTGCCTGTTGTCACATATTTCACTGGTAACATCTAATGTCTAGACCTTAGTTTCCTTAGCTATTTGGCTATAGATTATCCCCATGGCTTTAGAATTCTGAGGGTTGTTCAAGCTTTCATATTTAAGTCTCAGGTTGAATCCTAGGACCACTGTGAGGTTCCTTGCTACAGCTGGGTTAACTATAAGGCTAGGGTGAGGAAAGGCATGGCAACTCCAATATGCTGGGGTCTTCACTGCAACTGAGGCCTTCACCAACAGCTTCTCCTGGCCACTTCAGGGACTCTTACCCTGCCGCATAGAGCCAAGCCTCAGCTTCTCTCCATTAACCCTTCAGTTCCAGGGTTTCCACTGCAACTGAAGCTGCACCTTTATCAGTGGTCTCTCCTGTCCTCTCCCACTGCAAACCTAAGCTTCTAGGACCATTTCAAGACTTCAAAACCAGTACCATGTGGGAGACTCTTACACATTGCCACATGTGGTTTCCAGCTTGAGATGCAGTTTTAGCCTCCCTGGACCACAGATTCTGTGTGCTCACTCTGAAGAAATACTTCCCAGAAGATTTTACCTCAGTGATGATAGTCGCTTATTAATCATGGCTGGTTTTTCTTTTAAAAAATTTTATTGTTGTTTTATGTGTTTTTCTTGCGTGTATGTAAGAGCACCACATGCATGCAATGCCTACAGAGGCCAGAGGAGGGTGTCAGATCTCCTAGAACTGGACTTATGGATTGTTGTTGCAAAGTGGGCACTGGAAACAGAATCAAATTCTCTGCAAACAAAGCTAGTGCTCTTCACTGCTGAGTCATTATCTCCAGCTGATTTTTTTTTTTTTTTTGTCTCTTTGAGACAGCCATGCTCACAGCTGACTTTTCAACCCCAGATAGTCAATGTCCATTGTCCCAGTTTCACTTCCACAGATTTTTTTTTCTTTTTGAGACAGAGTCTCCTGTAATCCCAGCTGGCCTGGAACTCACTATGTAGGCCAGGCTGACCCTGAACTCACAGAGATCTGCCTATCTCTGCCTCCTGAGTGCTGGGACTAAAGTGGTTGTGCCACCACACCTGGCTACATTTCCCACAGACTCTTAATTCAAATAAATCACACAAATGGACCCGATTGTCTTTGCTTTCCCCCAAAACTTCAGAAGCCAGGCCTCCACTGTGTCCACTGCTCTCAACATTCTTTTCCAAGCTCCTCAACTCATTAAGCTCTGAGGACCTGCAGTCCAAAGTTTCCAAATGCTTACAGAATCCTCACCACAGCAAGATCCTGCTCTCTGGTCTTATTTTGAGGTCCTTGGTTCATTTATAGCTGAGTTTCATACAGGGTGAGAGATAAAGATTGTTTAATTTTGTACATGTAACTATTCAGTTTGACTGACATCATTTGTTGACGATATTTTTCTTCCAATGTATAATTTTAGTCTCTTTGTCAAGAATCAGCTGTAGGAATGTGAGCTTTTATCTGGGTCTTCAATTCTACTCCATTGATCAATGTGTCTGCTTTTATGCCAGTACTATGCTGTTTATTACTATAGCTCTGTAGTATAATTTGAAATCAGGAATGGTGATACTTCCAATAGTGTTTTTATTTAGGATTTTTTTTCTCTTTTGATATCCTGAGTCTATTGTGTTTCCATATGAATTTTAAGATTAATTTTTCCATTTCTGTGAATAATTGCATTGGAATTTTGATGGGGATTGCATTGACTCTGTAGATTGCTTCTGGTAGGATGACCATTTTCATACTATTTTTCCTAACAGTTCATGAGTATGGGAGGTATTTCCATCTTCTGTTATCTTCTTCAATTTCATTCTTCAGTGTCTTAAAAGTTTTCATAACACAAATCTTTCACTTCCTTGGTTAGATTTATTCCAAGATATTTTCTGAGGCTAATGTGAATGGAATTATTTCTTTGATTTCTTTTTCTGTGTATTTGTCAATAGTATATAGGAAAGCTACTGATTGTATGTTAATTTTATATCCTGTTACTTTGCTGGATGTGTTTATTGGCTGAAGGAGTTTTCTGCTGGAGTCTTTAGGGTCTTTTATGTATAGAATCATATCATTTGTGAATAATGATACTTTGATTTTTGTCCTTTTTATCTTTTTAAAATATTTTTTTTATTTTATGTGTATGAGTGTATTGTCTACATGGATGTAAGTGCACTTGTGTCATGAAGTACCCACAGAAGTCAGAAGAGGAGGTTGGATTCCCTGGAACTGGAATTATGGATGGTTGTTAGCCACCATGTGGATGCTGGGAATCAAACCTGGGTCCTCTGCAAGAACAGCCAGTGCTCTTAACAGCTGAGCCATCTCTCCAGCCTCTATTTGTATCTCTTTTAACTTCTGTTCTTGTCTTACTCCTCTAGCTAAGACTTCAAGCACTATAGCAAACAGGAGTGCACATCCTTATTTCTGATTTTAGTGAAAGTGCTTCAGGTTTTTCTGTTTAGCATGATGTTGGCTGTGTACTTATTGTATAGTATGTTTATTATGTTGAGATATGTCCCCTTTATCCCTAGATTCTACAGGACCTCTATCACAAAGGACTTTTGAATTTTTGTCAAAGGTCTTTATCTAATGAGATGATCATGTAGTTTCTGTCCTTGAGTCTATTTATATGGTAAATTAGTTATTGATTTAAATATGCTGAATCAGCCTTTCACCTCTGGGATAAAGGTGACTTGATCATTTGTGATGGATATTTTTGATGTGCTTTGGAATTGAGTTTGCAAGTATTTTATTGAGAATTAAAAAACATGCTTTATTTATTTAATGTGAGTGCTTTCCCTGCATGTAAGTGCACCTAAGCACGCAGTGCCCATGGAGGTCAGAAAAACATGTTAGATCATCTGTATTGGAGCTATGGATGGTTGTTAGCTACCATGTAGGTGCTGGGAATTAAACCTGAGTCCTCTGCAAGCATAGCCAGTGCGCTTGATCATTGAACTAGCTCTCCGGCTCCCTTATTGAGAATTTTTGTGTCTGTGTCCATCATGGAGATTGGCCTGTGATTCTCTTTTGTTGGGTCTTTGTCTCAATTTGGTATCAGGATAATACTGGCTTTGCAAAAAGAATTTGGAAGTATTCCTTCCTTTTCTATTTTACAGAATAATTTAAATACTGGGTTCTTGTTTGAAGTTCCAGTAGAATTCTATACTCTCTCTGGCCCTGGGCTTTTTGTAAATGAATTTTTAGGTTTCCTTCTTGATTTTTACTTGACCCAATTATCATTATTGTGCTGTTTAGTTTCCATGAGTTTATTTTCTGTAGTTTCTTGTAATAGAATATCTAGGTTTATTCCATTGTTCTTATAGAAAGCAGGATTTATTTAAATTTTCCCATTTTCTGAAATTTGCTTTGAGTCTTAATATGTGGTTTGGTTTTGGACAAGTTTCATGGGCTGCTGAGAAGAATGTGTAGATGACTGTTATGTCCATTCAATTTATTATGTCCTTTAACACCAGGGTTTCTTCACCTAGTTTTTGTCTGAATGACCTATTGATGAGGGACTGAAATCACTCACAACTGTGTTGTGCTTAATCTGTAGTTTTTAGATGTAGAAGTATTTCTTTTTGAAACTGGATGCACCTGTGTTTCATGCATATATGTTTAGAACTATAATATCCTCTTGTTGGATTTTTCCTTTGTTGAGAATGAACAACAAACCCTTCTTATTTCTTCTGACTAGTTTTGATCTGAAATCTATTTTGTCAGGTACTAGAATAGCTACACCTGCTTGTTTCTTATGTTTTATTGGAACATCTTTTCTTTTTCTATCCTTTTAAACCTGGGGTGATATCTATCATTGCAGGGGAGGTGTAAATTTCTTAAGAGGCAGAAAAACGATTCCATTTTCTAATCCAATCTGCCAGTCTCAGTTTCTTTATTGGGGGAACTGAGGCTGTTAATATCAAGCACTATCACTGAAAGTGTAATTCCTGTCATTTTTTTGGTGGTGCTTTCTTAGATCTTTTAATTAACTCTTCTGGAATTGTTTATTTATTCCCTGCAATCCCTTCAATGTGATCACCCTTGTCCTTAGACCAAAGAATTCCTTCCTGTATCCTCTGTAGAGCTAACTTAGTGCTCATATATTTCTTCAACCTGTTTTTGCCATGCAAAGTTTTTATTTCTCCTTTAATTTTAATAGATGGCTTTGTTGGGTTGAAAAGTCTAGTTGAAAGTTGTCAACCAGACTTTTCAGAATTTGGAATAGTCCTTACAAGGCTCATCTGGTATTAATATTCTGTTGAATAATCAGTCATTATTCTGTTGGGTTTGCCTTTATAACTGACTTGACCTTTATTGCAGCTTGCAAATCCCTTCTTTATTCTGTGTATTTAATGTTTTAACTATAATATGTTGTGGGGAGTTTGTTTTTTTGTTCTGTGTATTTGGAGTTCTTGGGCCTCTTGCACCTGGATAGGCATCTCTTTTCTCTAGGTTTGGTAAATTTTCTCCTATGATTTTATTGAAAATATTCTCTATGCATTAGCTATGGTATTAATCTTTGTTCCATTCATTGATGTTAATAGCTTCATATGCATTAGTATCCAGCAACAAAATAAAATACCCAGAGTAGTTCAACAGGCAGCCTTACATAGAAGGGATCCATAGTTTTGAGTTACCCAGGTTCTGCACTCCTAGAAAAGAGGAAAAGTTAAGAAATCATCCAGGTTTTTGTGCTTCACAAAAGGCTTCCTAAAGGAAGCATTCTTTTACATATAATTTGGATGAGCTTCATGAACACTTGCCTTGTTTACTTCAAGGCCAGATGAAACTCCCTACCCCCAAGCCCCCAACCAGAGAACCTCTGATACTTTTTTTCCTGCTTGATCTAGTGTATTATTAAGGCTTTCAACTATGTTTTTTATTTGACTCACTGAACTCATTTCCAAGGTTTCTGTTTGTTCTTTTTCAAAAAAATCTGTTTCATATGAATTCATCGGGCTATCTGTATTCTATTTGAAGTCACCGACTATTTTATAAATTAATCTTTTGAATTCTTGGTCTGATCTTTCATCTCCTTTATGGCTTTGAATTCAGTTACTCAAGTCATGAACATTTGGAGGCAGTACATACACATAGTTTGGTCTAAAAAAGATATAGAAAAAAATGTGCTTTTTCATATAAGTAGACATTCTTCTTGATCTTGTACCAAAATCCTAACATCATATCAATGAACTTGTCATATTCTGTTAAATTAAGATCCATTACTCTTTTGTATTTTGATAAAAGAGAAAGAAGTGATTTTGGTAATGAATTTATGCTGTGGTGAAAGTGCTTTACAAATTAGATGGTTGTACATTGGAAAACAACACATAAACAGGCATGGTGGCAAAAGCTAGAATAATCACTTGGCGAGCCTGGGCTACACAGCAACATCTTGCTTAAGAAAACAAAGTAGCAAGCCAGCAAGCTAGCAAGCACCCATTCATCAACCTCCAGAAAATAGCTCCTATCTCTAAAATTTAACAGAACTCCACTAATAAGCTTTCTTAATGGAGAGAATTTTCAGTTATACACAGGAAGCAGAGACAGACAAATGGTCCTGCCCATTTCCCTTTCTCTTTTTTATTCAGTTTGAAACCTCAGCCTGAGAAATGGTGTCACCCACATTTAGGGTGGGTCTTCTCACCTCAATTAATCCAGACTAAGAATGCCCTCAAATACTGCCCAGAAGTTTGTCTACTAGGTGATTTAGATCCTGTTAGTTGACAAAATTTACCACCATAGAATCTTAGAGAAATGTAGGCTTGACAGTTGTGGTCTAACTATGAAGAAATGGTCTAGCACATCTTGGTGCTAAGTTGGGTGAAAGGCATGAAGCTCTGAAGGAAGGCCTTACCCTGAGCAAACAAGTCCAAACCCCTTCAGGGGCCTAGGGTTGGAAGAAGAGAGGACCACCTCTAGCCCAGGTTATTTAAGAACAATTTGTCAAAATAATGACAGCTGTAGTTAAGGAAGCTATAGTAAATTCAAGCATCACTGCACTAACTGCTAATGCACATGGGCAGATCAGAAATATATTATGGAGAGGGCATCAAGGAAGTGAAGAAACGAGACTGACAAGAGCCCTCTTCCATTTAATATTAGCAGGATTACTAGAATTTGGTGTCTCAATTATGTTCCATGTTCTAAAAATACTTTTACATGGTCATTGTGTAGAGTGCTTGTATGCTATTGGAAAAGCATAATATCTTGATAAAGATATTGATATTCAGTGTATATATTTTCATTTTTTTCCACACATAGTTTGTATGAATTTGAAACCACTGAATTTGGTGAGAAAATATATGGTAGGTAAAATTTTGGCTCCCACAATTTTTACCCTCAATACCTATGACTATAAAACACTGCATAGCTGAAGGGAATAAAAGTTGCCAATTATTTGACTTTAACATACAAAGATTATTCTAGATTATCTGGGTGGAGGTAAAAGTGGTCAAGAAAGGCAGAATGTTCTTCAGAGAGAAGTTACAGAAGAGGCAGAAAGGATTTGATAATGACCGAGAATCACAATGACTGGCTTTGAAGATGGAGGAAGGGGACGTGAACCAAAACATAACAGTGCCCTCAGTAAGCTGGATGCAGCTACGAGTGACAACACAGCCAGGACCACGAGGACCTGGGTCTCGCCAACAACCTCAGCAAAGAAACACATCTCTTGGAGCTGCCAAAGGAATGCAGTCCGGCAACATCTAGGTTTTAGTTTGTGAGCACTAAGTCAAATTTCTGACACACAGAACTTTAAGATAATAAATGTGTGTTGTTTTAAGCCACTGTATTTGTCGTAACTTGCTAAGTAGCAACAGAAAACGAGTATGACCAAAACGTCCTGTCTTTATTTGACTCAGATTATCCTCTGTTGAGTGTTTATTCTGCTGGATGGACAAGTACCTAATCCTTAATATTATTGAACCCTTTCCCCACAAGGTCTCCTCCTCCTCTCACAACAGCTCTTATGATGTGTCTTCAAACAGCTCCTATCTCTCAAACTCTTGAGAAGAAACAAAAAGGTCTGGTTATCTACTTGGGAGATACAGTACACAACACCTAATTATCTTGCCACTGGTAAACTGTTTCTCTTGAAAGATATTTTGTTCCCTTCATGTACCTTTCCTCAGTTAAGGCCAGGGCTCACAAACTTGGATATCGAGGTAAATTTATTTCTTCATCAAGGGCAACAGACACCCCTTTATTACTGTATCCTTCCTGGATGGAATA